GCTTTCTTGACAGTTGCAATAGGACCCATGGACACAATACAAGGTGCAAATATCTCTATGACATTCCCCGTGTCAGGCTAAATCTTTAAAAAACTCAACGTACATAAAAGGACCCAAAATCTGGAACTCTCTGCCAGAAATCTCCAGAACCATTGACTCAGCTAGCATTTATAAAACTACAGTTAGGAAACACCTTATCTCCTTAACCTATCCTGGCCCATCATAAATAAACATGTAAAAACTTTTTGTGCATTTGCTCAATATCATGAAACTTCATTAAAACATTATAATCAATATATACTTACTCTCAATATCTGTAATCCTCTGAAATGTTTATCATTCCACTGTGTCCACCTTAGTTTAATAATCAAAACTGTAATTCTCTACCAAACTTATTAAAGCCATATAACATGACCTAATAGACTAGTCAATTCTCTTGTATTCATTGTAACTCGCCTAATTACCATATGTGCAATTACTGCACTGTTATTGCCTTATTAATTTTAAGTTACTTAAGTTTGCCCAAAATGCTCTACATATAAAGGGGCTTTTGGTATGTACACCCAATTGTTATACTCTTTTGTACAAACATTGATCATGTTGAAATAAAATTATTATTATTAATTTTGTCAAGGCTGGGAACGAAAGCAATCCTAGTACTAGGGAAAAAGAAAATGACTTTGTAGTAAACAGAGTTAGTAGCCAGGCTTCAAACACTTGATATTGTATAGCAATAAAGGAATGGAACAGACTACCTAAACATGTCAAAGCCAGTCAAAGTAAGAGCCAGTTCAAGAAAGAGCCAAAAGGTGCCTAATGAATGTAGCAACAAAGGGAGGAGAATGTTTTTTTTTTTTTTTTTAGCTAACACACATGTATATATATATAACTCATTTTACATTATTTCTTGTATATCTTCTTTATACAGGGCCGGCCTTATGCCAATTAAACCTATTGCTCCCAATTGGGCCCTGCTCCTAAGAGGGCCCCTTGCTAGAGTGTAACTTGCTCTCTGCTTGTCAAGTACACACAACAACACGAAGTAAAAAAAAAAAAAAGGGGGCATCTGGAGAAAGGAGTTTTTCCAGACTGAAACTGATCAAAACTTACTTGAGATCATCAATTCAACAAGAATGTTTGAACACTTTGGCAATTATGTCCACTGAATCTGAAATTAGCAAGAGTTTAAATTTCGACAAAATTGTAGAAGACTTTGCAGAGAAAAAAGCAAGAAAAATAACTTTATCCTAATAAAAGGCAATAGTATTGTTACTCATTTATAGTTTATGAATGTTAAGTGATTTTTAGAAGTCCAAAAAAGATGATTTATTTCCAACAGTGCACTTAAATTCTGAATTTTTTTTCTTAAAAATAAATCAATATTTTTAATAAATCATTTCACAGTCACTAAAGCAAGTGGTAATGTGACTATGTACTCTTCAGAGGTGATATACAAATTTTGTTTGTTACTTGTAGATTTACATGTATGCAATTTTATATTAACCCTTTGAGGGTTTTGGTCGTACTAGTACGTCTTACGCGTAGGGGTTTTTGACGTACTAGTACTCATAAATTCTAGCGGCCTCAAATCTAGTGGGAGAAAGCTGGTAGGCCTTCATATGAAAGAATGGGTCTATGTGGTCAGTGTGCACAGTCTAAAAAAAATCCTACAGCACACAGTGCATAATGAGAAAAAAAAAACTTTTACCATTTTTTTTTAATAAATCAGCGACTTTGCAGTGTATTTTCGTATGGTATTTATTGTTGTATTCTAGTTTTCTTGGTCTCATTTTATAGAATGGAAGACATGTTACAGAAATTGAGATGATTTTAACTGGTTTTACAATGAAAGGTGCCTTGAAATTGAGCTCAAAGTAGCAGAAATGTTCGATTTTTACCAAACTTAAAAAGTAAACAAATCGTGCCAAGCATGCAATACACGTCAACTGGTGAGTCTAATATTCTTTCACAAGTGCACCAATAATATTTATACCATTTTTTACACTAATGCTGTAGTCTGCATAACAGTAAATCTTATATTTTTTGCGAGAATAAAAATTCAAAGTGTAAAGGAAAAGAATATAAGAGGGGCCTTGAGACGTGACTAATGACTAGAGGAAATGTCATTTTAGTGCCAGGAATGTCTTTCTTGTTTATTCTGGACCCTATTCGGAAATTGGCATCTTTTGAAATTTGTGTGAAATTGGCAAAATTGCTAAATTCTGACCACTGTACTGGATAGTTGAATTTATAAATGGGTGGTTTCTTGCACTCATTCGATAGAAAAAATGGAGTTCTAGCGGAATATTCATGTTTTTTGTCGACTAGTACAGTGAAATTGGCCGAAAATGGGGCTCAAAGTGGGCAAAATCGCCGATGCGTAAACATCGCCGAGACCGCTAACTTTGCGAGAGCATAATTCCGTAAGTTTTCTATCAAATTTCAAACTTTTGGTGTCTTTATGATCGGGAAAAGATTCTCTATCTTTTCATAAGAGAAAATAATTTTTTTTTTTTTTTAAATTTGGCCGACCCTGAGAACAAGTTTCGGAGAGGGCCTGTCGACCCTCAAAGGGTTAAAATGTAGTTTACATCTGTTTGGTCTATTAACTCACATGCATTTTTTAAGTGCAGTTTGATTGCTTTCTTAACCCTTTCAGGGTCCAAAGGCCAAATTTCAAAGTGCGCACCAGTGTCCAAGAATTTTCAAAAAAAAATTTTATTTTTTCTAATGAAATGGTAGAGAATCTTTTTCTGAAGGTAATAAAACAAAAAGTACGAAATTTGATGGAAAATTGACGAAATTATGCTCTTGCGAATTTTGATGTTTCAGTGATTTTTACACATCGGTGATTTTGCCAACTTTGACTCCCATTTTAGGCCAATTATATTACTCCAGTCGACCAAATTCTTAGCTATTTCACTAGTATTACTTCTATTCTATCGATTGAGCATAAGAAATCACCAATTCAACTGTTTCAACTACAAAAAGTGATCGGAAACTGGTAATTTGGCCAATTTAATGCAAAGTTCTAATTTCAAAATAGGATCCAGAATAAACAATGCAGGCATTCCTGGAACTGAACTAATGAACAGAGGAAATGTTAGTTACATTTTCAGGCTTTACAAATGAATTCCATTTTGATATTTTATTCACATAATGAATTTTTATTCAAACCAAAAAATAGAAGATTTACTATTATGCAATACTGTAATAATTGTATAAATAATATCACCACATTTTTAATGTATATTAGACCCACCAGCTGGTGTGCATTAGACGTGTGGGATCATTTGTTTACTCTTGAACATCGGCAAAGATTTAACATTTCTGCTATTTTGAGCTCAGTTTCAACCCATTTCTGTTACTAAAACCAATCAAAACCATCTCTATTTCTGTAATATGCCTTCCATTCTATCAAATGAGACCAAGAAATCGCAAATACAACTATAAAAAACATACGAAAAAACACTGCAAAGTCGCTGTTTTAATGGAAAATTACAGTCTCGTTTTTTTTTCTCATGCACTGTGTGCTGCAGGATTTGTTTTATGTGGTGCACACATACCACATTGATGTATTCTCTCATATCTAGGCCTAAATTTACCACTCACAGCTCATCAGAGTGAACTGAGCTCATGGCGTAGATCTACGGTTTGGACCCTCAACGTATAGCCGTAGATCTACAACACAGACTCTCAAAGGGTTAACATGGGCCCACGAAAATTGTTCCCAATTGGACCCCACACCTCCTAAGGCCAGGTCAGCCTTTATACAAAAATAATAAGGTAATAGAAGAACCCCAATGGAAATATGTCAATTTGGCCAACTTTTTTGAGTTATCCTAGGTTCTCTACACATACATATGCTGCTATGTATGATTATGTATGTAACTGTATCTGTGCATACCTGAATAAACTAACTTAATAACAAGGGCATGGAGGGTGGTATGGAGGTCAGATGGAAGTTTTTAGAAGGTAGCAATTAATAATTTTATACTATTCCACCTACATAATCAGTGTAATTGTCAATGTCATTTTCATTTCTTCATGGTACAGGTTGGCCATCACTAATCCAGTGTAGTGTGCCGGATTAGTGAGTTTGCCAGATTTCAGAGTGGTTAGGTTAGAATACACTTAATTAACTTATCAAGAGAGATTTTCTGCTAAATCTTCCTCATTTTCATCACTGCTTTCTCCTCCTCTGGCTTGTATAATGATCTGAGTCAGTATAATGATGAAATCTGAAATTATGCTAGCCAAAATTAGTGCCGGATTACTGATGAACCCGGATAATTGATTGCCGGATTAGTGATGGCTGACCTGTAGTAAAGTGGACAGCAGCCATGCAGGGAGGGGTTATCCTGTCATAAAAAGTATGGAAAGAAATACTATTAACTGTTGTTATACTCTGCTGGATCGCTGGTGTCTCATGAACATTTAGAACACCATTCAACTTCTACCCAGGTAAATCTTACATTACACGTAAATCCTGCATTACGTGTACTCAACACATACTTATCTTTAATTCCTTGGGAGTTTCTTAATCTTTTCAGTCCTGCAGGTTTGTTCTCCTGGATGGAGACTGGGCCTCTGTAGAGGTGGTTCCTTGATGAATTAACAAATACACACACTGCTTGTGTTCTATGGTAAAAGAGAGTTGCTACTTCTCCACTCCAGGGATAAAATAATATAGACTAATGCAGAATGGAATCTTTATGCATGACAATATTTTACTTTTTATTTTCTTTACAAGTTTTTACTCAACAGCTGGTATCCTGTTGGGAGTAAGTCATCTGCGATAATTTTTGTGCACTTTTTTCTCTACTATTGTGTGTAGCAAGTGCCTATGTTGTATTGAGCATGTATTGCCGAGTGGGTTTTCTTTTAGAGTGTATGGTGCAATAAGTGTGTTGTGAGCTTATATTGTGAGCTTGTATAGTAAGCCTGTGTTGTGTAGTGTATAGTGTCAGCCAAGAACCCACCACCATCACTCCCGACAGGTCTGACAGTGGGTACTCCAACACCTCCTCCCCGCGAGGCTCCACACTCACCCTACACCCTGCCGCACCCAGCCCACCTGCTGCAGACCCAGCTAAGCTCCCCAGGTGAGTTACTAAGCTCTCCAGGGTCATAAACCTTCTCAGGTCAGTTAGTGAGGTCCCCAGGTGATTACAATGCATGCTTCTGTAAGGGGTCCCACTAAAGTTTTCCCTCGAGTCCCTGTGGTCCTCTTGGGTGGGATTCCCCCATGAGTTACAGTAATGAATAAAAGAATAAATAAAGATTGTATTTCTTTGCAAAGGTAACAGTGTGACCCCATATGATCACCAGTTCCTCAGGCAGGTAGCCATTCTCTGAAAATCAAGTACAGTGGAACCTCAAATATCGAACTTAATCCGTTCCAGGAGTTAGTTCTAAATTCGACAAGTCTGAAAAGCGAAGCAATATTTCCCATAAGAAATAATGGAAATACAATTAATCCGTTCCGAAAACCCAAAAATATTCACAAAAATTTTTTTTTATAGAGACTAATTATTGTTTTACATACACACAACAAATATAGAGTTCAATTATGTATCAATAAATTTAAATAAACAAAAAATAACATTTTTATTTACCTTTATTGAAGATTGGTGATGGCATCTGGAAGATAGGGAGTTGGGGTTAGTGTTTGGAAGGAGATTCCCCCTCCTGTTTACAGTCCTCTGTTTCTGTCACAAAAAACTGTCCACAGTCCTCTGTTTCTGTCTCACAAAAAAGTCTCACACCACTCATACTTCTGTATTATTTCCTTCTTCACATCTATTGTGTTTCTCACTTTCTTTACCACAAGGGTACCACTAGCAAGTTTCTTTGGGCCCATGGTAGCTTATTTCACAGACCCACAAGCACTAAACACAATGAAATAATCGTAAAATGTTTGAATGAGATCGCAGGGTAGTGTTCACTCAGGCATCAACAAAACCAGACTGGCTCACGGGGCCTGCATGGGGATGCGGATAGAGCAGGCTGCCGGATAGGTCCGGTACCTGGTGGTTCGAAAATAGGGGCGAGTTCAATAATAGGGACAAAGTTGGTTCGAAAAAAGCGTTCTATTTTCGAAAAGTTCGATAAGCGATACATTCAAAATTTGAGGTTCCACTGTACAATAATTGCTAAGCACATTATCAAGACCTCCAACACTTCTCCCCTTTGAGTGACCTGTTTTGACTGCTTCTCAGGTAACCGAAATGCTATGTATTCCATAGGATTTAAGATTATTGCAAGTCATACACCATAATTTTAAAATAAAGATTTATATTTGCAACCCTCTTCTAATTATATTCATGAGGAAGCAATAAACCCCTATGGGTTAAAGAGGGACTAGGCAATGAGGTAATTGAGTTTGATGTGAGGAAGGGGAGCTCCAAAGCATTTTGTCTTTTAAGGGGTAAACCCAGCCGCAACTACAGTGGACCCCGGGTATTCGATATTAATCCGTTCCTGAGAGCACATCGAATACCGAAAATATCGAAGAGCGAATCAATTTTCCCCTTAAGAAATACAGTGGACCCTCAACCAGCGATGGCATCGATTAACGATAAATCTGACTAGCGATACATTTTAACGCAAAAATTTTGCCTCGACTAGCGCTTAAAAACCTGACCAACGCTATTCGTTCCGTTCAAGACGCGTCCACTTTGGCCTGAGCGCGCCGCACTTGTCCCATGGGTGCCAAGCAGGACGTACATTACTCAGGAGGAAGAGGCACTCCCAGGACATAAGCCTATGAAAGACAGGCTTACTCTGTTGATGTGTGCCAATGCTAGTGGTGATTGCAAAGTGAAGCCTTTATTGGTGTATCACTCTGAAACTCCCAGAGTGTTCAGGAAAAACTATGTCGTCAAGGCTAATTTGTGTGTGCTGTGGAGGGCAAACAGTAAGGCATGGGTCACTAGGGACTTTTTCTATGACTTCTTACACCATGCATTTGCCCCCAATGTGAAAAATTACCTAATTGAAAAGAAATTAGACCTTAAGTGCCTCCTGGTATTAGACAATGCTCCTGGTCATCCTTCAGACTTGGCAGAGCGACTTCCTAGGGACATGAGATTCATTAAGGTGAAGTTTTTGCCTCCTAATACCACTCCTCTCCTGCAGCCCATGGACCAGCAGGTCATTTCCAACTTCAAGAAACTGTACACAAAAGCTATGCTTGAAAGGTGCTTTGTAGTGACCTCAGAAACTCAACTGACTCTAAGAGAGTTTTGGAAAGATCACTTTACCATCCTCAATTGTGTAAACATTATAGGTAAGGCTTGGGAGGAAGTGACTAAGAGGACCTTGAACTCTGCTTGGAAAAAACTGGCCAGAATGTGTAGACAAAAGGGATTTTGAACGGTTTGAGGCTAACCCTGAGAATCGTATGCCAGTTGAGGAATCAATTGTGGCATTGGGGAAGTCCTTGGGGTTGGAGGTTAGTGGGGAGGATGTGGAAGAGTTGGTGGTGGAGAACAATGAAGAACTAACCACTGATGAGCTGCTAGATCATCTTGAACAGCAAAAGAGCAGACCTGAGGAAACTGCTTCGGAGGAGGGGATAGAGAAATTGAAGAAGTTGCCTACTTCTAAGATTAAGGAAATGTGTGCAAAGTGGCTTGAAGTGCAAACCTTTATTGATGAAAATCACCCTGACACAGCTACTGCAAGCCGTGTTGGCAACCTGTACACTGACAATGTTGCGAACCACTTTAGGAAAGTCATAAAGGAACGAGAGGTACAGGTATCTATGGACAGACATGTTGTGCAACAGAAGTCCAGTGACTCTGACGCTGGTCCTAGTGGCATTAAAAGAACAAGTGAACTAACCCCAGAAAAAGACTTGCTACCTCAAGTGCTAATGGAAGGGGATTCCCCTTCTAAACACTAAGAAGATCAATGCTCTCCCCTCCTCCCACCCCATCAATCATCACCAGAACTTCAATAAAGGTAAGTGTCATGTAACTGTGCATGTCTTCTTCAGTTTGTGTGTATTAAAATTAATATTTCATGTGGTAAAATTTTTTTTTTCAATACTTTGGGGTGTCTTGCACGGATTAATTTGATTTCCATTATTTCTTATGGGGAAAATTAACTTGACTAACGATTATTTCGATTAACGATGAGCTCTCAGGAACGGATTAATATCGCTGGTTGAGGGTCCACTGTAATGGAAATCAAATTAATCTGAGCAAGACACCCAAAAGTATGAAAAAAAATATTTTACCACATGAAAAATTAAGTTTAATGCAATAGAATAATTACAATAACAACAATAACAATAGAATAATTGACACTTACCTTTAATGAAGATCTGGTGATGATTGATGGGATGGGAGGAGGGGAGAGTGTGGATGGTGTTAGTGTTTAGAAGGGGAATCCCCTTCCATTAGGACTTGAGGTAGCAAGTCCTTTTCCAGGGTTACTTCCCCCCTTCTTTTAATGTCACTAGGACCAGCTTGAGAGTCACTGGACCTCTGTCGCACAACAAATCTGTCCATAGAGCTCTGTACCTCCCGTTCCTTTACGATTTGTCTAAAATGGGCCACAACAATGTCATTGTAATAGTCACCAGCACGGGTTGCAATAGCTGTGTTAGGGTGATTTTCATCCTTAACCCTTTGAGGGTCGACAGGCCCTCTCCGAAACTCGTTCTCAGGGTTGGCCAAATTTAAAAAAAAAAAAAAATTATTTTCTCTTATGAAAAGATAGAGAATCTTTTCCCGATCATAACGACACCAAAAGTTTGAAATTTGATAGAAAACTTACGGAATTATGCTCTCGCAAAGTTAGCGGTCTCGGCGATGTTTACGGATCGGCGATTTTGCCCACTTTGAGCCCCATTTTCGGCCAATTTCACTGTACTAGTCGACAAAAAACATGAATATTTCGCTAGAACTCCATTTTTTCTATCGAATGGGTGCAAGAAACCACCCATTTATAAATTCAACTATCCAGTACAGTGGTGAGAATTTAGCAATTTTGCCAATTTCACACAAATTTCAAAAGATGCCAATTTCGGAATAGGGTCCAGAATAAACAAGAAAGACATTCGTGGCACTAAAATGACATTTCCTCTAGTCATTAGTCACGTCTCAAGGCCCCTCTTATATTCTTTTGCTTTCCACTTTGAATTTTTATTCTCACAAAAAATATAAGATTTACTGTTATGCAGACTACTGCATTAGTGTAAAAAATGGTATAAATATTATTGGTGCACTTGTGAAAGAATATTAGACTCACCAGTTGACGTGTATTGCACGCTTGGCACGATTTGTTTACTTTTGAAGTTTGGTAAAAATCGAACATTTCTGCTACTTTGAGCTCAATTTCAAGGCACCTTTCATTGTAAAACCAGTCAAAATCATCTCAATTTCAGTAATATGTCTTCCATTCTATAAAATGAGACCAAGAAAACTAGAATACAACAATAAATACTATACGAAAATACACTGCAAAGTCGCTGATTTATTAAAAAAAAATGGAAAAAGGTTTTTTTTTCTCATTATGCACCGTGTGCTGCAGGATTTTTTTTAGACTGTGCACACTGACCACATAGACCCATTCTTTCATATGAAGGCCTACCAGCTTTCTCCCACTAGATTTGAGGTCGCTAGAATTTATGAGTACTAGTACGTCAAAAACCCCTACGCGTAAGACGTACTAGTACGACGAAAACCCTCAAAGGGTTAAAGGTTTGCAGTTCAACCCACTGTGCACACATTTCCTTAATTTTTGAGGTAGGCACAATGGATTCCACAACTGGCATAGGCTTCTCAGGGTTAGCCCCAAACCCTTCAAAATCTTTCGTAATTTCCATACTAAGTCTCACCCTTTTTACCACAGGGTTGGCACTAGAAGCTTTCTTGGGGCCCATGGTGACTTATTTTGTAGAAACAAGCACCAAAAACAGTGATAATATGGAATGTACTGAATGTATCCTTAGATGCGCGCACACTGGCTGGCTTGTAAACACTAGCACACACGGGGCAGTTCAGGCCACACGTGGACACGTCTCGTACAAATCGTATCGAATACCGGGTTTTCAATCGGATACCAAGGCAAAATTTTTGCGTTAAAATGCATC